CATTCTTTATAAATCTTAAATACTGTTGCCATATCTGATGCGGATCTTTTAATGATGCCTTTTCTCTTATAGACAAAGTGCAAAAACGTACTGTTTTATTTGTAAAAAAAAAAAAAAAATTATCGCAATTGTTTTTTTGGTTTATTTCCTAAACCTATTTTTTTTTTATTCAATATTAAATTTTAAATAATGTTTCAAAAGATAAACAAACTTTTTTTTTTTTACGCCTTCCTGTGAAAACCTAAGGGGCTGTTCATATGTATGAAAAATATTCTGCCTGGGAAAGAAAAACAACAATATTGGACGATACAATAATCTTAGGAGCAATTTTTATATCTAGAAAAGTTGACAGAACACAAACGAGGTAAAAAGATTTCTCACTTGCATGTGCCGGATGCATGTTAATAGTGAAATTATATAACAAATATGTAATTATTGTGAAATTGTATATGTAATTAGTTTTTTATTGTTGTGCTAAGAGTAGACGATTTTTTTTCTGGCTTTTTTCTGTAACATGATTTTTTCGCTAATGCATTTTCCTATCTACCAGAACAAATATATTGCTGTGGCCTTTCTTTGATCTTAGACACAGACACATTAAAATATTGCATAGTTTTTGCGAGTTTATTGCTAGTTTCCTTAGCTGTTTTTAAAAATTTTAGTTTAGAACTAATTCAATTTTTTACAATATGATAAAAAATAAGATATTTATAGAGTATGAAATTAATTTAAGCCTGTCTTTCCCAATATTGCCATTTGGCAACACAAAGTTTAAATTCAAATATCAAGCCCTGTTTTATCTTATTTTAATTTTAAGTAATGCTTAAGTTTTGCTACTTCCTATTAGATGGCAACATGTGCAATGAACTCGCTAATTAACAACTTTTTTTTGAAAATATTTAATGTCATTGTAATTTTTTTTTTTTTTAATTTCAAATATCAGAAAAGAAAGGGTTAACCTTTGAAAAAAACAGTGAAAAAATATATTTAAAAGAGTACTCTTAACATGAATGTGGAAACGATGTATTAAGATTAAAAGTAAATTAAATATATTATTCTTAATAATAATCAATTAATATACACTAGGGTGTCCCAAAAAACAACATTTTTGAAAATAATCTGCTCTCACCCCCTAAATGTGTTCTATCTAAGGCAAAAACACTAGGTTTAAATTTTTTTCGAATAAAAAATATTTTAAGGGGTCCCTCAAGACCCTCGAATATTTAATGGGTCCCTAATATTTTCGAAAAAAAAGTTTTTCAAAAATATGTCAACCTGGTACTCAAATGAAGCGAAATTATATAAAAATTTTAAAAATAATATACATTTCGAAACAAAATTATTATTTTTGGTTTTATTACATAAAAAATTGGGTTTTTTAAGAAAAAATAAAAAAAATGCATTTCTAATGTTTTATTATGATAATTTTGATAAATAAGTTAAAAATATTTCAAAATGAATATTATTTTTGAAATATTTATATAATTTCGATCCATTTGAGTACCAGGTTACATATTTTTGAAAAACTTTTTTTTTCGAAAATATTAGGGACCCATTAAATATTTGAGGGCCTTGAGGGACCCCTTAAAATATTTTTTACTCAAAAAAAATTTAAACCTAGTGTTTTTGTATTAGATAGAACACATTTAGGGGGTGAGAGCAGATTATTTTCAAAAATGTTTTTTTTTGGGACACCCTAATAGACACTGAATATTTTATATTATCAAAGTATAATTCTGAATACATTTTTGGAAATCGGAGCTTAGTTTGCCTAGTCGTCATGAAATCACGTTTAATTTTGTGTTGATTTCATATTTATCTTCAATAAATTTTACAGATGGTATTTTGTTTTATTTTTGGCGCTGTCTAATCTATGTATGCAGCACTTAAGAGAATTAGGAGAAGAAAGAATATAAGAAAAGGACCCCACACATTCCCAGTACACATTTTAATCTTAAAAGAAGGGAATTATTTGTTAATGTAAATTGTTTTTTGTAAAATTATTGGGGAAGTTTTTTGACAAATTCCCCATTTCGTCAAAATGCTGTACAGGGTTGCAAAAAAAAACGTTTTTTTTTTTAAAAAAAAAAAAAAACCATAGGTTTTTTTAAAAAAACCATGGTTTTTTTGATTTAAATTAGGTTTTTGCTAAAAAATGCAGTATTTAGTTATCTTTTTAAATTAAAAAAAGCATAACATATTTTATTTGAGTAAACTATATTCTTAATCAATATTATTGTTATATTTCATAAAAATTATTCAATATATCATTGTTTAATGTTCTATATACAAAATACAAGCTTTGCTGTTTTTTCTACACCCAATTGGTTTCTTAACTTGAACAACTTGAATGAACAAGACCTAAAGTTGGAAAAATTCTTTCGATTCCAGCACTAGAAGCTGGTGCATTTAATATACCTTCAATATCCATTATGTTATAGTAGATTTGGCTTTTAATTTGAATAATATTGGTAATAAATTCTTGAACTTTTTATCTGCAAAATTCATGGCAGCTTCATTTTCATTTTCAGAAAAATTAGATTCAAAATATCTAGGATATTTTTATATCTAGGATTAGATCAAAAATATTTAGGAAAAAATATCTAGTGTGTTAGCCAGGAAATGAGCATCACTGACAGTCTGAAGGTATCTAGATTTTTTATTTCGTTTGATAAAAATGATACATTGTTTATCAAATCTTTAAAAATTTCAAGTGTCACTTATTTTTGTTTGATCTCTTTGCAACTTATATAGAGCTACTGCAATTGGTTTCAATATTTTCAATAAATCTTCTGTGTTTCACTTTATCTGTATATCACTTACTTTTTTACCAATCATGGGATCCAAGTCTTTATTTTTTTCAAACATTGTGAAAATAATGCTCCAGCTGTTGACATATTTTTCAAGTGAATCACATACAGAATTCCAGCGAGTTTCAGTAGGAAGAGGCAATTTTGTTCCTCTGCTTAATTTATAAATTGCTTCAGCTTGATGGTTATTTCTTATATATTTTATTATTTGTGTAACATGCTTGATCACATTTTTAATGCTAAGATCATTTGCTAAAAGATTCAGCATATGAACAGCACACCCATAACTTATAATAATATCTCTTTCAGATGACAATACTTGTCTCATTGATTTCATATTAGCTGCATTGTCAGCTGCAATGCTTTTTACTGTGCATCCAAATTTACGTCTTACAAAATCTATTGCTTCTCTTGCTAATTGTGTAAGATATTCACCAGTACCTGAATGACCATAAGTGTTGATTGTTTCTACTAAAATGTTAATTTTATCTGTAATTGCAGAGATACAAACTATAGGTTCATTATGTACATTACTCCAGCCATCTAAAGAAATGGCTAAAATTTTCCCATTCAATATATTACATTTTTCAATTTCTTCTGTGTAAACCCTATCTAATATTTCTCCTTCAATTTGAGTTCTATTAGTTAGTTCTATTAGTGTATCCTGGATGAAGCATATTGATAAATTTAAAAAAAAAAAAACAAAAAACAAAAAAATCATGAATTTAAAAAATATATCTATATTGAAGATTAGTTATATTTGTGAACATAACCCTGTCTTAGTTTCCTGTTGTAAGTTCAAATCTTTTTAAAAAAACCTTAGTTTGGTTTAAACCAACATTTTTTAAATTGGTTTAAACCATGGTTTAAACCAATGATTTAAACCATTTGGTTAAAACCATGCAACCCTGATGCTGTATCAAATTTACTCCTAGTTAACAGCTAGCCAGCTTTCCGAAATTTTTTCCTTAGTTTCAGAGATAGTGATGGTATCCATGGTAATGACACAGTAGGGATGTTAAGAGAGTCTGATTGAACTTTGTTGATTTTTAGAGACTGTTTATTTCCAAAGTTTGCAATCAAAAAACATTATATATATGGAAAATAATGTAGGCAGTTTTTAGCAATGAAAAACTTAATTTTACTGCAAGCGCAGTAAAAATGAACTTTTGAAGTAAAATAAATTTAGCGCAGAAATGAAATGTAGAAACTTACCTTCTATATTGCAAATAAAATTGAGAAGTTTTGAAGGTCTGAAATTATTATTAGGATTAAAATTGATTTTGAGGGTAAAGAAAAAGACAGAATTCTAAAAGTTAGTTCTGAGACAATTCCCTGCATGTACTCCCCAACAGTCGAACATTGCATGTACTTTTTATTTTTTAGGCGTCCGCACTACTAAAAGTTTTTGAAAACGTCCATGTTCACTGAATGCGCAAATAGACATTCCACTTTTGAAGTTTATTTAACTTTTCGAAATTTAACTTAAATTTTGAAATTAATTTAGTATATATGTATTTTTTCGAAATTAAAAGGAGTTTTCAAAATTAAATTTAAGTTTTCAAAATTATTTTAGGTAAAAAATTGTTTTTTATCGATAACGTTTTAATTGAAAATTTTCGAAAAATGTGTTTTCGAAAATGAACCCTAGAAATAATCATTTAAAAATTCAAAAATTTACCATTTTAATTCGTTTATGCAAGAAAAGAAAGAAATCTGTTAATATCAAACATTTTTAAAAATGTGGTATTAAAGTTAATTTTTTAATTGTATAATAATATTAATAAATTGTAAAACAATATTAATTTTTTAATTGTATAATAATTAACATTTAACTCGTTTTGCAATAATTAATATCATTGCAATAATTGAAAAAAACATAAAAAAATAAAGGAGAATTTTATTCAAATTCACATTAGACTATGGAGTAAAGCATTTTTTTATTTAAAAATACATATTTGTATTTGCAGTCCTTGTTTTAAATAAAAAAATTATTTGGGAAAAATACCTGTTGACAGGTACATTCCCAATAATTTAATTCAAGCCTTGTATTGTATTTAAAATTTAATTATTTATTTTAGAAAAAAATATTTTATCTGAAAAACTTTAAAAATTAGCCATTACACAAATTTTTTTAGAATAAGTTAAAAACAAAATAAAGATTGATTTATATCATTCACAAAAAAGTACCTCTGCTTTTGAAATAGTAAATGTGTGACCAAGATGAAGTTTGCCATTCATATAAGGATATGGAAATGAAACCATATATTTTCCACCACTATATAAACCAGAATTTAATAAAAATATTTATCTTGAAAAAAAATATCATTAAATACTAAAATATAGTTAATCTGCTCAAACTAATTTTAATAAGAAATAAAAATATACTTTATTCAATATAATACAACATAATGAAATGTTTATGACAATTTATGTTCATTTAATCTCAATTATTTATGCAACTATTTTTTGATTGTGTTATAAAAAATCTTTTTCTGATATAAAATTTTAATATAAAATTTTTTTTGTTGATATTGTTAAATTTTAAGCAGCAAATTTTTTTTACTGTTATTACTGGTTGTTTTTTAATAATTTTTTGTTGGTTTTTCAAATAGTGTTCTGTTAATTACCCATGGGCTTACATATTTCATTTTTCCCAAATGTAAAAGTAGAATAAAAAAATTAAAAAAAATAAAGAATAAAACTTTTTTTTTTCAAGTAAATAAATTACTTGAAAAACTTGAAGAAAAAAAAAAAAATTATTTGATTTATATCATGTTATACATTGCTTAACTTAATAATGCTTATTTGTGAGTGTTTAAATCTGAACTCACGGAAACCATTACACCCATGTTAAAGGTGAGAAAGAGTCACAGTACTTTTTTTATAAAAAATGTGAGCAAAAGTGTATACGAATATTTAACTTAGGTAATGTTAAAATGTTACTTGAAAATGCATTGCGACAGCATCTCCTAAATTTTGATTTAAAGCACTTATTTGCCATTTCGTTAAGTCTTTTGTTTATTCAATAGCGTTAAAACATTTATTAAACAATATGCCTTAGCGGTCAAAGTTGTTAGCATTTGCAGAATTTCTGAAATGAATTGCTATGGTTTAAATCTTTACGCTTTCTTATTTATTTATTTTTTAACATTTTTTGATTTTTTTAAATACAAAATAAAACATCTTTAAAATTCTATAGACATTTTTGCTTTTATAAAAATTAAATCAGGCATATTTCAATAATTTTGATTTATACCATTATTTTGGGTTGTCCCATAAATTCTTGCTGTTGTTTTTAATTAAAAAATTTGTGATTGAAATGAAATATTTGACATAATATTTTGTGTTATTCGAATGAAAATTTTTTGCTCTACAACATAGTCTATTTGGTTTTTTTGTTCATTATTTTATTTTTAGAGCATTTAAATGGAGCATCAAGTCAACAAAAACAAGCATTTTTGACACCACTTTCTTTTTGCATTTAACCGAGGTGCCAAAGCTATGAAAGCTGCTAGAGAGATTTGTGTCGTATACAGAGAAGGTGCCATAGCTGAAAGAACTGCTCAATATTGATTTGCAAAATTTAGAAATGGTGATTTCAACCTCAGAGACGCAACTTGTTCAGGGCAACCAATTGAGTTTGATGAAGAGCGTTAGAATCAAATTCTGCATGAAGATGCAGGTCAAACAACCAGAGAATCAGTAGAGCGTATAGGATCCAATAAATCAACAGTAACAGAACATCTCTACTCAATGGGAAAGGTTCAAGAACTGGGACCTTGGGTGCAACATGTATTGAGCAAAAACAATAAAAATCAACGATTCAACATTGCTGCCAGTTTGCTTGCTCCTTATTGCAACTTATGGGCATAAGCAAAGATTTCTTTATGAAGCAGCGCAAAGAATGGTAAAGCCCAAAAAACAAGCAAACCTGCGAGCGAAGCAAGATCTTCATCCATGAAAGACAATGTTGTGTGTATGGTAGGACTTGGAAGACAATTTCCACTAGGAACTGCTTGATCGCAACCAAACAGTCAATGCAGAACTATATGTTCAACAGATGCAACAATTTAACAACGCCATGCAGCAAAAACAATTTAATGAAGAGTTAGATTTCTACCTCTTCCAATCTCTTTCAAACGGTTTCGCAGTGTTTCAATCAATAATGACGTCAAATTGCGGGTGTGGTTAGACGAATATTTTAAATCGAGGCCAGGCAATTTCTACTGAAAATGAATCAAAAAACTTGTTAAATGTTGGGAAGGGTGTCTTAAAAACAACTTTTTTTAAAAAATTTCAATGTGCTCTCCACTGATCCCCATTCTATAGGTCCTAAATAGTTACCAAAATCTTTTTCTTTATTTTTTAACGACTAGAAGTGATAGATAGTAAACTCTGAGTTTTATGGTATTGTACACATGTGTATTTAAATAAAAATAGCGCTATCTAATATTTCAATAGGTTTTAATATGATGCAATAATTGGTACACAAATAATTCTCATAGAATATTATTAAAGAATAGGACCATATTTTATGAGCATTGTTAGCGATTGATATAATTCCCTCTGGACAATATTATTATTTGGTATGATTCCTTATGGATTGGTTCACAAATAACTCCATTTAGAAATTTTTTTTGAAGGAAAAAATTTCTGATTGGAATTATTTGTGCATGAAGGAATTCTAATTTGTGCACAAAGAAACTTTTGTGTAAACGGTTATAAAAGCCTTAACGGTAAACTTAGATAAAATATGATACGAGAGGGAATAACGACTTCATAGATTTTTAATGTAAGTGTAAAATTTAGTATAAACTTAGTTAAAAAACTGATTATTTCGAAATTCATATAAAAATGTGTAGAACAGCTAAAAAAAAGAAGATGATAGGACAGAATAAGAAAAAATGGAAAAATACAGAAAGGTTGAGGTATATTTACCTATTGAAGTACCCACTGAGGGATTTACCTCAGAGACAGCTTCCATCTAATGGTGATATTCTAAGATACTATCAATTTATCCTTCGCGAGTCACAAGTAAAATACAAACCCACTTCTACTAATGTTGGATGCAAATTGAAATCGAAATCCAAGGATTTTGAAACTCTTGCTTGGTAACTAGGATTAAAAAAATTTGGGATAATGCTGGGTTTGGCAAGAAGCTTGTGATTTCTGGGTACAATATAAAGATTAAAATCATTAAAATTATTCTAAAATACAAGAAATTGATTAAATTGTCTTCTCTAAACTGGAACAGCAGCCTTGATAAGCAATCAAAGTTAGAGAAAGATTTTCTCACAGAATCCTATCAGCTTTTTTGAAATCTCCACTAAGAATTTTAAAAAAGATATTCTTGCTGATAGATTGAGATCAGATGATGCCAAGTTGGAAGATATAAAGTAAGTTCATTAAATAACACATTTTTAGTAGTGAGATTTTTTTTTCCAATTTAAAGTAACTTAAGTAATAATAGCATTTATTTCCTTTACAATATTTATGTTTAACTCCTTCCATGCTTTGGCCATCTTCCAGGAAAAACTAGAACAATTATTAATTTATTTATAAATGTCTTAATAGAACTAATTATTTCTTAGTTTTTATGAAGACCAAAAGTTGGATAGGAAAGGATATATGGGAACAAACGTTGACGAAGACTACAGTAGGAGAATACTGGATGCAAACAGGAGAAAGAACAAGCTAGATAAGTTGAGAAAGAAAGAATTAGAATGTGACAACAAAACATCATATCAATGATTCTTTATTGTCACATGACTCCATGACAGAAGAGATTCAATTCACCATTGAAGAAGAAAAGCCAAACAAGGACTCTGAAATCAGCTAGGAAGAAGATTTCCTCGGTAACGGTCGGAAACGCCGGTATAGTATTATTTTAATAACATAGTTGTAATTTTCACAAGCTAAAACTGTTTTATTGAAAAGTATATAATTATAAATTGGTAGAAAAGTATTATAAAATGATACCTAGGTACAATTCAGGAGATAGGATAAATCAGGCAGTGAATGTTGAAAAGCTCATTGAATGACTGCTATTCCAGCAACAAGGTTCAATGTTGGTGTACGACCTCATCTGGCAATTTTAAGTGAAGTATTCAAAGCTGGAGGTATAGAAATTAATGATATACCACTTTCATGAAGCACACTTCATAGAAAAAAGTTCAAATATGTAGAACTTGAAGGAGACTTGGAGTGGATTTCAATAACCTGAGTTAATTTCCGAGCAAAGCTACCTTATCTTTAAACATTTTAAAATATAAAGAGCACGTATAAAAGAATGGCTCAATAATAGTCTTAATACTATAGATGTTTTTAACCATCCTCAGTTGCTAGATTTTATTGCATGGATCAAAAACACATTTGTTGTAAATGATGGTGCAAAAAGAAACATTAGTTATCAAGTTAAATAGTAGAAAACAATTGGAAATGATTTATACACATTTAATTGTTTTGTTTTAATTATCTAAAATGTAAAAAAATTGTGTTTTCTATAAATGTTAAGCCAGCTTAACATTAAAACAGTCAAACTCAGATTTTACATTTAGCACTTCCTGTCAAAATAAAACTGTCAAATTTTTTTTAGTACTTATTTAGGTCACATAAAATGAGAATGAGAAGAGAGCTTTTTTTTTTTTGGGACACCCTAATGTTGGGAGCAAGTCACAATTAAAAATAAAGTTACAAAAAATAAATAAAAAACGACAAGAATTTATTTGACAACCCAATATTTTTTAAAAAGATGTTTCATCTTATATTTAATAAATATAGTTAAAAATTAGCAGATTAGTGTTTCTTAGTGGTCAAAGCGGTTAGCTCACTGCGTTTTCAAAGCACAACACAAAGGCTCAAATTCTGTTGTTTCAATGTTTATTATCATTATTTTTTTAAATCTTTTCAAATTTTCTAAAATACAAAAAAAAAAAAAAACATTTATTAAGTTCTATTGACAGACATCATATAAAGATATAATATACTATAATAAAAAAAAGTAAGAGAATTTTTAAAAAAACTTAAAATTTCTATAAACATCAAAATAGCAAGAGAAATTTTTGCGCACATCACAATAGAGATACTTATGTTATTAATGCGCTTACCTATTTCAGGTACTAATATCCAGACTGATGATAAATATTGGCTTATGCAATGACTACTGAAACATTCAAAAAATTTTATAGCTAATTATATTATATATTTTTTTTTTAATTCATAACCTGAAAAGGCAGACAATGTGTATAGTTTTTCTGCCTCTTACTAAAAAACATTGAGGTAAGGAATAAGTATGGGAATGTTTGGTTTACAATACTTACCAAGACCTGCATTTTATAGATCCGGACAGCTAGCAAATATAAATACAGCTCAAAATTATGAGGCATATGATGAATTTTAAATTGATATTATTAGATCTGACATTAGCAAACATTTCATTAAGTATAAAATGTTTAATAAACATTTATTATTTAGATTTAGTAGAATCTAGTTCACATTATTAAAGAAATGCATTATTGGTTTCTAAAATTTGATAGGCACATATTAATTTCATACCCAAACCAAAAATTACATTATCTAAAACCATGCTAATAAAATCTTATGAGCATAAATATAGATGATAGTCAATATTTGTTTATCATCTTTAACAAATTTTGAGAACCAATGCTCCATAAATACCAAAATACAACAAATAAAAAATATTAGAATCTATTAATAAATTAAAAACTGGTTAATTTTAAAAAATTAAAGATGATGGTCAATATTAGAAAAAAAATTATTTAAAATATATACTTTAACAAATATACCTTTAACAATAGTTATACCTATTAGACTACCTTTTATTTTAATATTCTTTGTAAATATTAAAAAAAAAAGTTAACTTTTAAATTAAAGTCATTAAGTACCAAAATAAATTTTGATATTAAGTTTGTTTCTGTTTTATTAACTTTATTTGAAGTAAATTTATTATAAAATAAATACAACACCATAATAAAATAAGAATTGATAACAATAAACAAAATAATATACAAGTTACCTTCCATTATCTCCAGAACTTGAAACAGACTGTAAAACAATTTTTTAAATCTTATAAATCTTATTAAAAAATGTAGCATAAATCGTTTTTTTTAAAACTAATACATAAAAAAAAAAAAAAAAAAAAATCAGACTACTTGAGGAGCATCCACTTCAAACACTTTATTTTCACTCCATTGCTTTTGAACTTTCAGCTCAATTTCCAATAAAGAATTCAATTTAATATTACTCTTTCTTTCCAATTCCTAAAGCAAACATATATATATATATGTATATATATATATATATATATATATATATATATATATATATATATATATATATATATATATATATATATATATTTATATATTTATATTTATATATATATATATATATATATTTATATATATATAATATTATTATATATATAATATTATTATATATATAATATTATTATATATATATAATATTATTATATATATATAATATTATGATAAGTAATTAATACTCTACAATATATATATATATATATATATATATATATATATATATATATATATATATATATATATATATATATATATATATATATATATATATATATATATATATATATATATATAATATTATAAGAAATAATACTCTGATACAAAAATAGACTACTTACTGACATGTTAAAATGAAAGCTCTTGACCAATCTATAACACAAAATATGGCTTGATTTGAATATATTTTGAGATCGATTAACCAAGAGTTTCATCGGCCACAAGTACCGTGCGATTTCACAAGTATCTGTGCGATTTCAAATGATACGCTTTCACTTTCTACTTAAGGCCACGTGAAATCAATGTTATAAAGATATTACCTAGATATCGGACTTCGGCGTTTTTAGTGAAGACAATTTAATATAGCATATAATACGTCGGAGGCCATTATTATATCGATCAAAAGCTTTCAGTGAATCATGGTCGAATGAAAGAAAATTTGCAATTTTAAAGTTTTTATTAAAGTCGGAATAAGAGATGATTAGTTAGGAGATGATAAATGTGATGAGCCTACAGCCAGTAGGAATGTTTTAAGTCAGTATCGTCCTTATCAAAATTATTAACAGAACACGACCTTTTGCTCCTATTAAGCGAAAAAATAGAACCATTAGAATAGGTTTCAAACATTAAGCAATTTGCATGATTTGATCCAACTATGGAATTTCTCAGCAAATTTCATTTTAAAGATGACTTTAACTGTACTACATCACTGATGTAGTACAGTTAAAGTCATCTTTAAAATGAAATTTGCTGAGAAATTCCATAGTTGGATCAAATCATGCAAATTGCTTAATGTTTGATGTCATCAGGATTGTTATTATAACCATTTTTGCCATGAATGCAGGTAAATAGTAGTTCAAGGTGATCTTGGAAATACTTGTAAGTTAAAACATACTTAAAGGGTTTTTCTGGAAGTGTCAACGGATCAGTGGATAAATTTTTAGTGCTTTTAGCAGCTATAACAGGGTTTCCACTCCTCCTTAAAAACCTTAAATATCCTTAAAAAATAAAAACCTCCTTAAAATTTAAGGACATTTAAGTTAAATATATTTAAGTTAAATTTATTTATTTATTATTATATATTTAAGGATATTTAAGTTAAAATTTAAGGACATTTAAGTTAAATTTCCTTAAATAACCTTAAAAAAAATTCAAATTTGACTGCACTCCTTAATTTCTCATTATTTTATTTATTTTTTTAATCATCTATGATATTTTGTTTAAGTGAATTATACTTATTAATAAAGAGGAAAATATATAGTTCTTTGATAGTTTGCAAACCTATACTTTTATTAAATATATATTTATATATATAAAAAGTAGTATACTAATTTCTATAACTTCTCTGTTTATATTTAAAACTTATTGAAAAAAATAAGATTCTGTTTTTAATATAATCGTTTTCTCCTTAATTCTCCTTATTATCTCTTTCAAATAATTGTTGTTTGCGACCAAATCTTCTTAAATATTAGGAAAATATCTCCTTGAATCCACTTAAAATCCTTACTTTTAGCCTCAGTTTTAATAGTGGCAACCCTGTGTAAATAAGCCTAAAACAAATGTCTTTCTTCTATGTAAAAGTAAAGGAATGCAATTTTTATCAGTCAACTTGCTCAAATAAGTAATTTACTATTTGAGTAGTTTTTACTATTTTTATTTTTTGAATTGAGCATGTTAAATAGTTTGTCAATAACTCGAATAAAACGGATTGTACCATTTGCTCCCAAAAATAATGGATATTGAGATACCATTAAAAATTCTATTGCATCAGCAACAGAGCTGCTAAGAGTTTGGTCAGCTATTTTCACATTCATTATGTGTCGATGAAATTATATATGTTTTCTTGAAAGTTTGTTTGCAAATTTCAAACCTTCAAACTCATGTAATTCAAAAAAAGCTTTAATGTAACTCCATTTAACATATTGGCCATCACCATCAATAAAAACATTTAAATCATTAAACGAATTTCTTGCTAATTTAAGCATATTCCTTGATCCATTAAAATGTGTATCAATTGGTTGTTATAAAAACTGACTATATTATCAATGTCCTTGCCAAACTGGCATCCAAAGGGGATAAAAGAACTTAAATTGGTACTTGTACCATCAAATGTAATACTTTTAATATAAACTTCATATGTCAAAGCCAAATTCAAAATGTTTTCGATAAAGCATGTTAGATCACTTGCTTTAACTTTATTCAATAAAACATAACTAATGGGTGTTTTTCAATATCCTCGCAAACCAACTAACATGAAAACTTTACCTCAGTAGCTGGAGTATCAGGTTCGCATACAATAATATCCTTGCCGAAACCACAAAAATCAGTATAGTGACCTGAACTTTTGTCATAAGTTAAACTGTTTTTGATTGCCATAGCATCAATAATGGGGGCACAATATTTAAAGATAACATCTGTTTTCTGTTTATCACCAAGATAGGCAAAAACATCATGGAATAAACCAGGGTCACATTTACAGACGATGTCCAATGTGATATTGAACTGGCGGCAGGAAGACTCAACACTGGTTAAAGAAAATTATGTGCAGTGGAGAATAAAAATAAAGAGTTAAAGCAAATTTTTTTAATTCATCATTGTATCTGTGATCTTTTGGTTTAACATTATGATTGAGAAATCGATTTTTAATGATTTCATAAGAGAGTCCAGAAATATTTTCGCTTAAAACAGTTGCGGCATCTGCGGTCAAATAATTTTTAGATTTTAAATAGGAAACCATGTCTTTTAAAGAACTAATATTTTTTTCATTTCTTCTTAACTTTTGCTGTAAAAATTTGACTTTTTTTTTAAAATTTTTCTTTTGTTGGCGATATAGATCTTACAGATAGTGTTGAAGATTGATTTTTTTGGTCAGTACTATGAGTTGTGCTTTCTGGCTGATAATTATGTGCTAATTTATTTTCTTTGTCGGGGTCATTTATAGCTGGATAAACATCAATTTTTTTTTTTTGACAAAGGATTAATAGTTGGTAGTGTTCGTATTGTTGGGAGTTTCCTTTTTGGCTTTTGTATATTTGCAGAAAATATAAAAACTGATTGCACAGCATTCAATTTTAAAATTGGTTTATAATGATGATCAACATTTGCAATATTTTTATCTAGGATACAGTAATTATAGTCTGATTCTAAAAAATGGTCGCTACATATACAAGTATATTTAGTTGGGATAAAATTTTCACGTTTCAAAGCAACAATCCATCTTTACACAATTCTGAATTTTTAATAGGAAATTTATGGAAAGATTTTGTGCCGCCTTTTGCATATCTACTAGAACATCGATATATATTTTTTTGTATGTATTTACGTGCTCCCAGAAGTCCTTGCGGTCTTATCATAGAGCACCGCAGGAGAGCATTTAACGGGGGGTTCACGCCTCCTTTCGTACCAATGTCGCTTATTGGGCTGGAGCTGGCGTCGAACCCCGGACCTCTGGGCTCTGAGCCAGAACTCTAACCACTGCGCCACGGCTGCTTATATGCAGCACAAGAATTAACCATTGTATGATGAAATTACCAAAAGAAATAACTAATTTAAATGAATGCTTAAGCAAATTAATAGAAATTATATTGGGAACTAACTCTTTTTATTATATGATATATTGACTGTTTTGCCCGATATGATAAAGACCGATTAAAACTGTAAACAAAAAAATCGGCTTCACTTGCTTATAAAAAAACCCGGAGTTAGAATTCTAGTTATTTATTAAACGTCATTGCGTGAAATTGCGATTACTCTTGCTAAACTCAAACTTGAATGCAAAGTCAAAATAGAATGAATTTTAGGCTACAACGCAATAACTCAGCAGACATTTAGTAAAAAAAAAAGTCTTTTGAACGTTCTAAACGCCTTTTGACCGTTCAAACGTTCAAACGTCAAATGCTATTGATTACCATGTCTTGTAGCCTGTTCAACGGATGACTTGCTTTAGTTAATGTTGTTAGATAAACTCGTTTTACTTGCAAAAGATTTTTTTAGTTTTTAATTCTTAATTATCAAAAAAGTTAATTGACCCTCACATATTGCGATACTATAACTGCATGTCAATATCTACACGATACATACATGCATATATTAGATTGGCGCCCTTATTTATCACATTTTCCCTATATTGTATATAAAGGACCTTTTTTTTTTTAAGTTCCTACATTTAATTTGGCGTCTCTTGGATATCTACCGTCTGGGACTTGCGACCCACTTTCTCGGCGTCACTATATATATATATATATATATATATATATATATATATATATATATATATATATATATATATATATATATATATATATATATATATGTATATTTTTTTAATTTTAATTTTAGGTGACCCAAGAAGGTCTTGTCGCAGAGCACCGCAGAAGTGCATTTAACCAAAAAGTTCACGCCTCCTTCCTTACCGTTACGCGAAAATATGTCCAGAGCTCGTTTTGAAACTGGATCTCCTGTTAAAAAGCAAGCGCTCTAGCCTTTGCACCACGGCCGCATGACTTTTAAATTCTTTTAAAAAAAAATTACTGTGATAGGAGAATGGGAACAAGAAACCCTAAAATCTTTGCCCCCCTGCCCCAAACGTGAGAGCAACAAGTTGATGAAATATTTTTTGTACTTTTTTCAACAAGACTTAAATTCATCGTGGAATTTTAAATTTCATAGTAAAATATTTTAGTGTTCATAATTATGACCATAAAAAGTTTAATCCCCTCCGCCCCCCGCATTTTGAGGGGGTTGCAAACTTTATATGGTCATAACTTTTTGCTCTCACTTTATATGGTTATAACTTGTTGCTCTTACGTTTGGGGCAGAGGAGGGGCTAAGATTTTAGGATTTCTTATTTTTCATTATATGAACGTTATAAGTTGGTTATTTCAAACATTTAAAAACTTTCCTCTATATATATATATATATATATATATATATATATATATATATATATATATATATATATATATATATATATATATATATATATATATATATATATATATATATATATATATATATATATATATATATATATATATATATATATATATATATATATATATATATATATATATATATATATATATATATATATATATATATATATATATATATATACATATATATATATATATATATATATATATATATATATATATATATATATATATATATATATATATGAAATTATTTATATTAGTTAAAAAAAATTAGTTATAAAAATACGCATGTGAAAAATGAGTAGCACAAAAGTTTAAACGAGTTTCAAATTCAATTATTTGTTAATTAATTAATTACTCCGTTGCAAAAAAATTTTTTAAACATAAACTTAAGTAGATTGAGTGATTTTCAGTCAAAAAAATTGTCACAACATTATC